CTTCAAGCCGGGGGGGGGATGGTTACGCGGAAACGATTCTTGTATTTTTAATTTTATTCGAGGGTATATTGCCAAGCGTATACCCATCCTTTGACCTAATATCCCTTCCGTAAACACTGAAAGGGGAAAGGCAGGAGTCTAGAAGGTGACGCGATTCTTTCGACCAGTGAGAAGCGCGCCCGACCGAGGTGCTTGGTGGGAAAGCCGAGGCAATAAAGGCTCGCACGCTACCCTCGAGCGTCCTCTTGCCACGCACCGCTAGTCTGAACCACATCACCTGGAGCAGTCGCGCTCCAGAAGTAACCGCCTCACATAGTGTGAGATATCGTCGCGCACCGCTCTCTTCCTTCGCACCACTGGCCTGGACCGCATCTCTGGGGCACCCAAGAAGAATCCACCTCACGTCGCATCACCGCAACGGAAGCGTCGTCCGCCACACCAGAATCACACCCCGGTAAGTGTTTTCCCGTAATTTTATTCCAACTTGAGCATTTTGTTTATTAGTTTACCCGCCCCATTTTATTTCTCCTAATGTGCTCAAGTAGAATCCCCTCCTAACTTTGGCAAGCAATAGATTTGGAAGAGCGAGTGCATTGTCTAAGGTGCCGCGTCACATCCGCTATCTTGTTGAGGCATAAGAAGCCATCGCGTATACAGTCCACTTAGTATAACATCTCGCATAATAGGGTCAAGGCTCAACCTGGGAATTGAACTCGGGAACCCTTAGGCCCGCAAATACCTTTTGACGTTTCACATTAATCATTCTGCAATAACTTTGCACTAGCGTATTCATACGATTTATAATAACCTTTTACCTAAATCCGACGAATTATGAAGCTACCTATATTTAATCACAACGTGTTTATTTTTTTTTATCGCCAATTTAAATTTCAATCTTTCAAACAAAGCAAAATATTTAAAAAGTAACCAGTATCAAATTTTTTACTTGACGTCGTTTCAATGATATGTCGCTATATGCCTTATCGTAGTGTTTGAATGATTAAAATTCATTGATATGCGATTAATCGGCAAAATGATTCCAATAATCGTTAAAAATATTCAAATAATCGAATCATTAATTTTTTTAATGTATTATTTGTTAAATAAAATTTTTATTTTTGAAATTCCTTAAATTACATGAATCATGAATAAAAGAAGTTTATTTTTACTTTCTCAACGTAAAGGACAATGGCGAACTCCCAAATAAATTTTAGTTGACTTTTTTTCTTGCGTCTACAAATGCAAAATAGGTAAAAATATAGTTTAAGATCCTGAACATTTTTTTTTCTTCGGTCATACTACTGTAACAAGTCAGGAATTAGAGATATTCCAGTTTAAACAAAATACACATCAGACTAGGCTCTATGGTACAAGACGCCTTAACTGGCAAATAGTTACAACAGCAACTAGTCAATATAATTTTCATGTATGTTTATATAGGGTAGTTACTAGAATAGAGGGAATCCTTAAAGAACGCATTAGTATATATGAAAGAGAAAACTCTTAATAAAATACACGTCAAACTCGGCTGTATGTTAAAAGACCTTTGACTGCAACAACTAGTCAATCACATTTTGAATTATACATGATTATTTTTTTATAGCCCATAAACATGATTAGATAAAAAATATATATAGCCGTGGTAGCTCAGATGGTTAACGCTCGTTGTAAATATTGATTAGATAATGCATAGTAAATTATTTTATTGATATCTGTAATGGTGACTTAAGTAGACGCTCAATAATTCCATTATCTATTATTTCGCCATTGTCCTTTGTGCAGGCAAAAAAAGCTCATATACAAGGCCACGCTGAAAAAACCACTGCGTAATTTCAATCTCCCACCATTTCGGGAGCTAACTTTTTAGAATGTTTCTTTTATATTCGTTGAAGCATGTGCCCATGTCAAAAACGATTATTGGGCAAAAGTGGTAAGAAGATCAAAAAAGGTTATGGTTGACTTTAAGAGACTTTAATTTTGACTGCATTATCAATAATCTCCTAAAATAGATTAATTATTATTTGATTTTCAAAAATTGAAATAATAATTAATCTAAACAACGACAGCTCAAGAGTAGTTGTACTAAAAGTGATTGAATAAATTTATTTTTAATCTAGTTTCTATCCTATAACAACAAATACGAAGAAACTGTAAAATCTTGTGTATTAAATTATCCGTTTTTAATTTATTCTGGTGTTAATCGTCGTTTGTTATTAGACGTTTGTCCGTTTAATTACGTTTGATACTCGAGCATCATTTCTTGAAAGGCTATTAGACATTTAGTTCTACATCGTTGTACTTTTTACTGTAGGTTTTCAATTGTAGCAGCTGATAACAATTCATCTTGAAAAAGATTTTGTTCGTTACTTCTGCGCTGTAACCGTTTTTGTAACCACTTTTGTAGCTGTTACCGTTGTTTAATGGTACTGTCTTTTATTAGTTTATTTTATATGTTTCATAACGTATTTCGAAATTAACGCTTAAAATCATTCTTTCCAAATCAGCCATTAGACTAAACAGAGATATTGCAGCATTAAATGCACATACGGAAAGGAGTACTGACAACAAAATAAATATATATTAATAATGTAATATGCAAATGATTGCGAATTACAAAACATTTTAATAGTAATTAGAATACTGGATAAGATTTAACAATAACTATCAGTAAAATCAAAGGTCCGTTTACGCAGTTTAAATCAGCAAACAATTGCATTGGTATCAACAGGAATTGAACCAGGGCAGAGATTAGAGGGTAGCACTATTAAATTTACGGCTCTAATATTTGATTTAAAAAATAAATTTTACTTCAAACACGCGTGAAGCCCAAAACAGGGTGTGTTACGCGCTATTTTATGGTGGTTAAGTTCACATTTTAAATATGAGAAGAGTGGTTTATAAACGTAAAAACTTTATTGTGTTATTACTCTACGCTTCGCAAAATTTATAAGAAGCCTTCAACTTCAACAGTTTGTAAGAAACCTTCAACTTTTGATGTAACTTCTTATAAACGTTGACTCAAAAATGTAATTTTTTTGACTTTAAATTAAAAGCAAAGTCGACTTCAAAGACTAAAAAGAATAAAATACACACATAATAACTTCTGAATGCTGTTATTTTATTTCCTTTCTTTTGAAATTTGATTTCTCTTTTTTAATAAAGGAATAGTTTTTAAATATATGACGATTGTTATACTCGTAACTTTTTCTTACCGATTTTGTGAGACGAGATGAGAGTACAATTACATTGTAATTATTCAACTTCCTGCAAAAGCAAATAAAGTTTCAGCGAAACGAGTGGGAAATGGTGAGTCTTATTTATTAGTTCTATATCAGACCGCATAATGTAATTCACAACTTATAATATGATAATTTATACTGTTTCGTACACAAAAAGGGCGCAGTAATGAAATCATCTTTCTGAGTCATTTAATTTTATTCTATGCTGGCAATTTCAAAGTCACAGCGTACAACTTTATTTCGGTTAAAACTCACAACACGAACCGTCGAAATAACAAACGTCGGACGTATAAGTACCTACTTCCCGTCGATTGCAGCTTTTTCAATGTTGGTTTCATATAAACTGCGGACCATTTAATGCCATTGTTATACTTTTGAAGAGAACTCATAGCAATAGATTCCGATTTTATTGCAGTTTCGCGACGCAATATGCAACTGTGTAAGGGTGTTTCTCATATTTCGTGCACATTACACGTCCAGGAGAAAAGTCTTCATTTTTTTATTAAAAATCTACATTTCTTTTAAAGGAAATCAAATGTAAAAAGGTTATGCTTACATGCATGTAATATTTACAGATAAAAATAACATAATAAGTTAATAATAAGTAAAAAACTTCAATAATTCTCATTATCTTCGGTGTCCATTTACTACTCTCCTAAAAATAATATGTTTTTTTATCCAAAAATATAAACATTAAATATAAAAAATAACGATATTATGAAACTTTATTAAAAAGCACAACGTTTACACCCAAAATAAATAACGATAACACGACAATATAAAGAAATTTTATTTCATAAATGTTTATCAAAAAAAAATCTGATTACCATCGGTTTTAGTGAAAATCTAAATTATAGTCCGCGTATGGGCGTGAAGGTCTGTATGCCACCATGCCGCGCCCCGCACAAGTCTCAGTCAGCCAACAAACATCGTAGAAAGTTCACGCTTGTTCGTTGAAAGAAAAAAAAATCGTGTAAAGTTTCGCGGGAGGTGATTATTATGGAATCGTCCTCTTTCCTGTCGTCCATATTATTAAGTGAGTATTAATGATTTTGTTTAATATGTAGTTAATTATCAATTCCAGTGATTACCTCCGTAATTTAAAATAAGCACGAGATTCCTAATTTTGATATTTTTTACGAAACAATTGAATAAGAATAAAAATCTCATTACTTTCGTACTCACTACCTTCGTTTACCGTCTTATTTTTAGCGATGGTGATGAGGTCAAAGCGATGACAATTAGAATCAATTTTACGTCAATTTATTATTGTTTATTACTGTGCATTATTACATTGCAAACCGTGTGGCCGCGAGTTCTAGTCCCACCCGTAGTTGAGATTTTTTTCCCACAATAATACTACTACAATACAGTTATAATAATACTTTAATTCAGATTAAAATAAAGACTTAATATTTTTTACTTTGTTACTTGATGTAGCTTTAAGTTTGTTTATAAATAGTAAACTCTCAGGCTAACCTTGTGAGTGTATTTTTTAATACTTTAGTTATTATGGATGAGCTTTATATGATGAATATGGGCAATATCATATTATGTGTTGTTACAGATTATTAAAAACTAATAATGCCAAAGAAAGCCAAACAAACATTAGAGCAGAAATGAAAGCGAGAGCGATTACAAAAACAAAGAAAGTATGCAGAAATTAAGGAAGATCCTGAAAAGTATGCAGATCTGAAAGCAAAAGAAAGAGCAAGATACCTCAAAAGAAAAGAGCTGAAAAAAATAAGTAGCGCAAAAGATATGACACCTAGACAATTGAGAGTTCAGAGGAAGAAGTGGATAGTTAATTTAAAACGTCATTATGAAAGAAAAAAGAAAGAGAAAGCTATTCAACAGTTGTTACTAGATAATTCTCCACCAAATAGCGACAGTGAAGTACTTCCAGCTGAACAAGATCCTCTCACTCTATCAGCTGTAAGCCCCATGCCTAATTCATGTCTAAATCGTTTGGATTACGGTAATAGTAACTCTTGTCAAGGGTGCCTAAAGAAGGATATTCTTCTGAGGAAGGTTCGCTACCTACATAAAAAAGAAATAGGCATTTTGAAACAAGAAATAGAAAAAGCGAAGAAACAGAAAGATGCCATTAGAAAAATGTTGTATAGAATAATGAAAAATAAGAAGGAAAATGTAAATATATCGACTGAAGAAAAAGTAAAACAATTGGTAGAAAATGTTAATACACAAAAGCGTGAAGAAATTAAAAAGAGACTAATGTTTGGTGAAATACTTTCAAGAAGTGTTGGAGAAGGGTACAAGCGCTTGAAGAAAAAGGACAAGAAAGAATTCTCTGATGTGGTTATGACAGAAAAAGAAAAGTTTAAAAAATATAAACTTGACACAAACAAAAATATTTACAGTAAGAGATAAAAAAGAAAATAAGACAGCTAAAAATGAAAACTTGAAAGGGCATCTAATTTTGGATTTTTTGACGATGACGAAGTGACTAGAATTGCACCTGATAAAAAAGAATATAATTATAATGATTTCTTAAATTTACGCGAACACTACACATTGAATAAAACTAAATTTACGGATTCTATCGCGTTTATTTAACTGATTTTACTTATTTTTAATTCCCGACGTTTTGCGTGCTTTACAGCAACCATGGTCACGGGGGGAACTGCGATGTTTGACGTCCCAATGTCATTGTTAGCCCGGCTACCTTCAGTTTTTGAATATTAATTTTTGGTCCGATTTACGCAAAACGAACTTACAGTATCTTGAAGTCTTGCAGTGGTATGCTTGGGTTTGGGTTTAATTTTGTTAATTATAGGATTCCAAGCAGATGGTAGCATCCAACCATCTTCTCTATTGAAATTAGGATGTTTTTAATTTCAATAGCCACGCGTATCATCCTTGGTAGGAATCGGTGTTCTTTTGCGAGGATTTGTGGGGACGATCGTGAACATGTTCACAGACTGCAGACTTCCCGGAGCGTCGGTGCTTCACGTCAGCTATATGTTCTTTCACACGGGTTTTTATGGATCTTTTTGTTTGACCTATGTAAGAGAGACCACATTCACAATCTAACTTGTACACTCCTGCATCTTGTAGAGGGATATTACACTTGACGGATGGTAAAAATTGACTAATCTTCTTCGGCGGCTTGTAGTATGTTTTAATGGAAGCTCGCTTCAAGATGTAGCCAACCTTGTCTGTTACTCCTCTGACATATGGTAGTACAGCAGGCACACGCTCGACTGTGGCCGGCTTTACACGGTCACTGTGACGTAGGCGCGGGATCTGAAGCTTGTTGTCTTGCAACACTTGCTTGACATGCTGCAGCTCGGCGGCCAGATGTTTTCTGTCACAGATCCTTCGTGCTCTCTGAAACATAGATTTACCCACGGTAGCTAACTGTGAAGGATGATGGTGAGATTCACCATTTAAATATCGGTTGGTATGGGTCTTTTTTCTATACACAGTGTATAAAAAGAATATTAACTAAAAACCAAATAAGGAAGCAGAAAAGATACTTAACGGACACATTGACCAATTTGTACAAAAAATTTACGCATAATTCGAATGTCAAAGTAACCTATCAAACATTTTGTATATATCGCCCATTTTGGGTTTTATACCCAAAGGAGTCCAGTAGAAATACGTTTGCTTGCAAAGTTCATATTAATGTCGATTTGTTGATAAAATGTCTTAATACAAATAAAATACTAAAAGAATCTAATGGGACGGGTGTTTTAGAAAGCTTATGTTGCAACGTCTACGATAAAAATTGTTTGAATCGAACATGTGAAAAATGTCAATTGAAAAATTTAGATTACGCGGAATTTCATAACGACAAGAAAATTAAATATTATCAGTGGAGTACTTGGTCTGAAAAATACTCTGTTAAACATGAGCAGAAAGCAAAATTAGTAACAAAAAAGGAAACATTATATGATTTTCCACGAAACATTATTTTTCAATTAGAAAATACTTTGGTAACACTGCACTTTACCTCAATATAGAAATATTAAGGAGCTTAAGAATAATCTTACTCCACAAGAAGTAGTGGTTCACGTTGACTTCAGCGAAAACTACTGCATTAAATGTAACGAAGAAATCCAGAGTTTTCACTTTGGTGGCAGTAGAATGCAAATATCACTGCACACTTATGTCATTTACTTGATAGACCCAGAAGTTGGAATTCAAAAACAATATAGCTTTTGCACTGTAAGCGAATGCACGCAACACGATGCTGCGGCTATCTGGGCACATTTAATACCGACTATTTGATATGTGATGGAGATTTCAACTCACTTTACAATACACTTTATTTCCGATAGTCCAACCAGCCAATATCGAAATCGCTTTATTTTTTATATGATCAGCCAACTGTACCGTGATTTTCCGCAACTGAAATCTGTGACCTGGAACTACTTAGAAGCTGGACATGGCAAAGGGGCACCAGACGGAGTTGGTGCTGTTCTCAAACGAACAGCAGATGAAGTAGTCCGCTTTGGCAGTGACGTGGACTCATTAGAATCATTCTTAGTCTATCTTAGACCAAAAGTGAAGATTGACATTCGCATCGTAACAAGAAATGACTTTGAAGCAAGAAGTTTTCCAACAGTCTTAAAACCAGCCAAATGTACAATGATGGTGCACCAAGCTCTTTGGTCATTCGGTTGCTCTAAAATTAGTCTAAGAAAAGTAAGTTGTTTCCAATGTGGCAATAAAGTTATTTGCAGCCATGGTAAACATATTGGGCATTATAACGTTCCATACTACGAAGACGTTAATATTGACCAATTTCAGAGTTTCCTTGACGAGAATACAACACCTGATATTATTCAAGAAACAAACAACCCAGGTTTTTCTGTTACTCGATCAGATCAATCGATTAGCTTCAAAGATCAATCTTCTTACAGGCCGTATTCGCAAAAAGTCAAAATACTATCGGATATTAATGTGACTGTGAAAGTTTCAAATTGATAAAGAGAATCTTGCTAAAATAAAAAAAGGTAATAATACTTATCAAACAGACTTTGAAAAATTCATTAAATGTAAGAGTATAAATGAAGAACAGAACGCCAAAGAAAATAAATACGAAACAAGTGAACAGAAGAAGAAAAAACCACTAATTGACTTTTGGAATGACACTGAAGATGAGGATATTTTTTAATCCAACAAACAGATGAGAAACCTGAGAATTCACTGTAACAATGAGCATTCCACTGTTACAAGTGAATGCTCTGTTTTAAAATTTTGTCGAACTGAACAACGAATGAAGACAACAAACATCGGTACGAACATTTCGGCGATAATGCTAGCGTGCGCACATCGCTTAAAGTAGTAAATGCTTGTCAATTTTCTGTAATGTAACATTCGCTAGAATTTTCAGGTTTCACCTTTAGAAATATGAGTTTAGTTTTGTTTAAGCCAATTTTTTTGTTTTAGCTAGAAAAACCTTTTGATTGTTGATCTCGTATTCCCAAAAATTTTATGATTAAGAGAACATAGAAAGATTTGACTTAATTCCTAAGAAAGGCAAGGAGAAATGATCTAATTATGTTGAGTAATATGATCATTAAATATCTATTTTAAAGTTTAATTTTAGTACAGCAATTAAGTAGTTTTTTATTGATTTGATTAAAAATGCATATTCTATGATATCATTGCCTTCTGTTTGTTTTCATTACCTTCGCACCCCTATCCCTTCATTTAACGACTCAATATCATTCCCCTCCTTGACGTTCTAATTACCGTTTCATTACGATTTTTGATATGACAGTAAATTTATTGTTATCTATACAAGGAAGGTAGAAACCACAAAAAGTAGAAGGATTTTATGGATAATAAAGATATTCAGGAAAAAAAAGAAGTGATTCGGCAATAAATTTGACATTTACAAATGTCTTGGTATTTGCACGAAAATACGCGAAACACCCGTAAAAGCTGTAAGGTCTTATCCTCAGTGAATACAATAGAGTCAGCTAAAACTCCTTATATAGTTACGTAAAAAGAAGGTACGACGGGTTTTGATGTCCTCGTATAATGATTAGGATAGGCACTACTTGTCATTTTCGATGAATTTTTCATTTGTATATACAAGTCACTTGTTTGTCCTATACCTTTAAACGAGCAATTCTTGTATCTCGGAAACGGGTCCAACGATTTTCATAAATTTTAGTGTCCAGGGAGTTTCGGGGGCAATAAATTGATCTAGCTAGGATTTATTTTTAGAAAATGTCTTTTTGTCCGTTTTTTCGGGCAATGAAAAACTGCTAGAATATAAGAAGGTAAATTTTCACACTGTGTTAATGATCGCAATAGCTCAAGTGGATAGCGAGCGGTCGCGAAATCGTAATGCCTCGGTTCGCGTCTTGTCTTTGGTCCGATTTTTTTTTCTTTTTTTTTTAAAGTTACCTTCTTTTGTAAGAAAATCTATTATTTCGAGCAGTTTTTTTAAGTATTTTTTAAAATTACGAAAATTTTAATTAAACTAATTGCACTCGTGATTTTTTATTCAAATAACGAGTTCAGTTTTTCTATTATGTCAATTAGATCAAAAAATATTATTCATCAGTATGTAATTTGTATCTTAATGTAATTTCAAAAAAACCAAGCAAAGCTCGGTCATCCGGGTACTTTTATTAAAACACAATTGTTAACGTAGCCCTTCCTGGATGCGGCGCATTACTTGTAGGTAAGTAAGATTGCCCATCCTGACCACCCTTATATGTTAAGCGTACAGCCTATTATTGATTTTCCGTCAAACAACTAGTTTGTCAAATTTTGCTTTCGTGTTGTTTTATAGTGTTATGTTAAAGTCTTGTCAATCATCGACATCAACCGGGGTAACGCTCGCAATCATTATCATCGTGAATAACAGCTTAATGTTTCCACCTTTTTTACTGGTAACGAGGCATTCTATCTTAGTTCTCTGTGGTGATGAAGCATCTGCAGTTTTTATTATAATACATAAATAATGTTACGAGCTTGAGGTTCGTGACAATAAAAATTGCCGATAAAATTACCTAAATTAACACTTTAATCTTTACACAAATTAAAACTTAAAACACTAATAATTAATCACACTAATTCACTTTATTTCGCTCCGAAGCTTCGCTTGTCTCGCCAAATTCAATACTTCCCCGATCGCATCTTGCAGCGCCTATAAATACAAATTAGCACCGAAACATCCAGAATATTCAAGTAAACACCCGCAAGGGGCCGAGAGTTCGAGCGTCAGCTTCTAGAAGCTTAGTTCTTCGTTCCGAGACTAGATGGCGCTGTCGGTTGAAAGATTAGTGATGTCATTTTCTGGAAAGTTCCCCTCGCTCTTGTTCCTGACACTAGATGGCGCTAGTGCCGGGTACATGACATCGACTTAGGCGTGTAACACTGCCCCCTTTTAAGACATGCTC